AGCCAAAACATAACGAAACAAAGAACAGAAAAAAAAAACTGATCCTTTCTCGTCTTTTGTCGGCACAGACTTTGATGATGGCAAAAATCCAAGCGCCGAGAGCAAAAAAAAAAAAAGAGCTGCCTTCAGTATAGCATCAAAACAAACGAACGAAATGACAAGTTGTGGACGACGTTACAAATTTCAGTGATTCAGAGCAGTATGCTCAATTCTGTGAAAGAATCTGATAATTTTTAACACTTCATATTAACTCTTCATTAGTTCTTTCTCCTTTTTTTTTTTTTCCTCCAGTAAACAGTTTAACAGTTAATTAGAAGACCACATTGAATCGTTCTTTTCGTCTCATCGCTCGTCGTTTAATTGATTTGTACAAAATCGTAACGTTTACTATCTGCTACTGAAAATGTTCAACGTATCAAAAAATTTATTTTTGATAATGTTACATGTACTATGCTCTATTAATAGCTTGATAGTATTAATAAATAGTCTTTGCAAAAGGCGGTATACAGTTGTTTCCTTAAAACCGACAAAAAATGTTAACAACTAACAACATTATTAATCGGTAAACTAAATCCATTGACAATAAGAAGAAGAAAAAAAAAAAAGAAAATGTTAAATTTATAGGTATACTAATGGAAAGAATTTTTATTGTCTACGATTATCGTTGAATGAAACAATTTGATTATAGGAACTAACGTTTGAAGCAACTTCTACCAATATCAATTGCATTTGACAAAGATAGCTGCAGAGAACAGACTAGTAAACGGTTTATTTATCTTTGGCTATCAATTTCCGTATAATCATTTTTAATTTAAAAAGGTTTATTCCATCTTCTTTTTTGGCAGCATTTCTTCGGCGCCATTTCCATTCTTATTTGTAATCTTCCAAATACGCTTCACATTTCTCTGTTATCTATTCACGTTTTTGTTATGTGGTGCCATAACATGAAATTTGTTTGTTATTCAGGATGATTAACATTTTTTGACTTTTTCACTTTGTTGTACGTTTGGCAGTGTGGTATCATCAATTTTTCAATCATCACATCAAATTGTTATCGAAGGATAT